TATAAAACATCATTATACTACTGTTTTATTAATACAAAATAATTTAATGTTTAAAAAACAATAATCAACTCGAGAATTGTCTCGTAAATATATAAATTAAACGTTAAATTGATAATAAATAAATAATAGAATAAACAAAAAAAAGATAAAATAAAAAAAAATAAGGTAGAATAAAATTTTTAATTTTACAAAAAAAAACTGATCACCCAAACATTTTTGTTAACCTAACAAAAAAAATTTGGTTGAGCTAACCAAACATTTTTGTTATGCCAACAAAAAAAAACACTTAACCAAATTTTTTTGGTTGACTCAAACAATACCAATAAAATATTTTTGTTAACAAAATTTTGGTTGCACTGACTTATAATTAATTCGTATTAATGATTGTTAATTAATTCGTATTACCTCATTAATAATGCAGTAATAAATTCCCCCCCCCCTAAATTTTGCGTATAATCAGAAAAAAAGTAGATGTAAAAAATTCACGATACAATCCCATTTTTTTTTTTGCTAAAGAATATTTTGATGGATAAAAGAAAAGGGTACAACGAGTTTTTCCACTCATGACAAAATGAACGTGACACCTTAATTAAGATAAGCAATTATAAAATACCATTTTTAGTGAGAGATAGATACATATATACATAAAAAGAAGGAAAATAATAATAATAATTGCGTACACACTTGACTCTATAAATTTTAACGAGCGCGCTATATAATACCTTTTCCTAAAATAAATGTTACCTGAATACAGTATCGCGTGTTGTAAATATTTGATCTATTATACAATATATATATATATATATATATATATATATATATATATATACACAAGTCGCAAGAAATAATAAATTGAAACGCCAAGTGCGCATTTCTCGCATATATTGTAATATGCTTTTTAATATATTTTTAATGAAAAATAATTACAAAACTTTTTGTATAATTTTATATGACCGTCAAAATTTGACGTGAAAATTAGCAGCAAAAATTTATTTTTTTTTATAATACGGTCATTGAATTTTAAAATAAAATTGGAGGGGGCACATAAATATTTCATAAAAATTATTATAGTTAGAATTTTAATTGCACAGAATTTTTTTTAGACGAATTTTCATTTTTCGAATTTGAGACAAATTTTTTATTTGATTTAAATATATTTTTATTTTGTCGCTCGAATAAATAAAAATTACATATATCTTTTTGGGTGTGGATAAAAATTTTAATTTTTTAAACCAAATTTAAATTATCTAGAACAGCGATATATTTCACTAAAACAGCGAAAGTTTTCACTATTCTAGAGAAATATATCGCTATTCCAGAAAAACTTATCGCTGTTCCATGCGAATACTTTTTTGCAGTAATATAGAAATTCGGTTCAATGGAATGTTAAATAATAAAAATTCAGCTAAAAGTAAAATCGAGTTTTTTTTTGTTAAATTAAAATTGTAAAAAATTAATTTTAAAACTTATTTATGCACCTGATTAATTTTCTTCTTTTTTTTTGCAAATATAAATGAGATTTAAGAAAATTTAAATAATTGATGTTACTTTATCATATAAATTATCAAAAATTTTAATGGAAACAATTTCTTTTATTCATAAAATTATGTATGTACATTGTTTATATTGTTTATCTGGAATGTTTTGTGGGCATCAGGCCAACATGGCACGCAAGGGAATCAACTCTCTCATTCTCTCTCTCTTTCTCTCTCTCTCTCTCTGGTTCGAGGTTTCTGTTTCCGTGGTGAGATTTTACAGGGTTGTTTCTCTTTACAAACTACGTGGCCTCAACGTAGAAAAGTAATATATGCAAAATTGATTTGTTTGAAAACAAGTTGTTATACGCAGACCATGCGAGTGGGGGTTTCTCTAATCAAAGAGCGATTTTACGTTGATTTTAGGTTGGAACAATATCAACACACACACACGCGGCATTAAATTCTGGTGCGCTTGGACTAAACTTTAAAACCCATTTCAACTTTAATGGAGAAACGTGTATTTTATTAAAATGGAAATTGACTATTTCAGGTTCTTGAAGGAAGCAAAAGTTCGAAATTCTATATTCAATGTATATTTAAATTGAAATATTCCTTATATAAAATATATTTCACGATTCTATTTAAAGAGGCCGACTAATTGTGATTAAAAGTTTTCGTAAAAAAAAATTTTTCAATTATAAAAATGCTTTAATAAAGATTACAATAAGTTAAATAATTTCATATATCGGTTTTTTTTTCTCTTTATATTTCGAAAAAAAATACAAATTATAAAAGTTTCATTTTATGATTTTCATAATTTTTTTGAAAGAGATATTTTTATACATATATATATATACATGCAATTGCAAAGGAAAATTATAAAACTTTTCCTGATATACAAAGTTTTGTGTAAGATAATATTATATAAAAGAGAGAAAATGGAGTGAAGGAAACTACACTATATATATTTTCCAAGTTAGGTTTACTCAAAGATATATACTTTGACTAGGAGTAATTTGTTTAAAAACAATTTATTTGTCTCGAACCTTTTTCTTCCATATATTTTTTTCGCCCGAAGGTTAGTTTCATTAAAGGTTTGTTTACTCACGACTTCTTTCCTTTTTGAGTTTTAAGTTCCAGTTGTTTTTACTAGCTTTTTGCGTATATATATTTTCATTGTTTTCTTTTTCCCCAGACATGTTTAGGTTTTCCTACAGTTTCCTCCTCTACTCAGAGAGAGAGAAAGAGTACTTATGCTTGCTCTAAAATTCACATTAGACTCTTTTACCTAATCAAAGTTTTAAAAACTTAAATGTATATCCCTCTTGTCTTATTTAAAAAAAAGTGAATTAAATTTATTTTTTATAATTTCATGAAAAATAAAAAGTTTTGGTTATTAAAATGATTATTCCTTAAAATTCATTAGTTCAAATTTTCATTTTAAAGAATTTTATTAAATATAATTATTTTTTAGACGAATTTTTATTTTTCGAAATAACATTTGACAGAATTTCTTTTTAAACAAATTTTAAATTAACGCATCAGAATCGAATTTTTATTGTTCAGAATGAATAAACATTAAAATGATGAATTTTTATTTGTCCGAAATTGCAAATCGATTTAGGCGCGATTTTTAAAATACACCAATCAAAATAGTTGTCAAAAAAAATCATGATTGGTGTATTTTAAAAATCGCGCCTAAATCGATTGTTTGTTCGGCCATTTGCAATTTCGGTCAAATAAAAATTCGTCGTTTTAAGAATTCTACCAAATAAAAATTATTGAAAAATTTTGTTAATTACAAAATTCTTTAAAAAAGTAATTCTAACAAATTTTAATTCAAAAATTGAAAATTCATCTAAAAATTAATTATATATCTAATAAAATTGTTGAAAATTTTCACTAATTATTTTTATTGGATAATCATATTAAAATAAGGGAAAAAGAATAATTGGTTTACTGATATAAAATAATTGTACGATCGTGTTAATTGAAAAGAGGGCATTGTTGAGGTCCATTTGTTTTACGTCGATAATTAGTGATTGCTCTCACTTCAATGCTAATCAATTTTCACGCTCACTCTTTAAGTTATATGAATTCCCGCTATAAATAATTGTTTTGAGTTGATAAAACACTATTTCTTACTATATCAACTTTTAAAGAAGAAAAATAATTTTATTTATCATTTGAAAAATATTTTTTTCAAATTCATTTATTTTTCATCACATATTTATTATTTATTTTTCACACACACACAAATTGTAATACATTTCATTTAATTGTAAAATTTTGCATTAGAACTTATCTTTATTTAAAATTTTTTTATTTCAATTATATAGAATAATCTTTATTTTTATTTTATTTCGATTATTAAAAAATATACATTTTAAAAGAATTGAATTTTATTTTTTAAGTTATATAATACATTTGAGCAGTATAACAACTGAGAAAAGTGGAATGCAAGGAAGAAAAGGTTAAGCTTCTTTTTCCTGCTCCAGATCGTGAGGAATTGCCATAAATTAACATTCAAGCTTTTTCCCCACTTTTAGAATGTCAACCTGACGTTATTCATATATATATATATATATAAATAATATATAAAAAATTCTCTCGAATCGTTTCAAAAAAATAAAGAAATTTACAATTATTTTCACTAGGATGAATTCTAGTTTTTAAGGAGATCTTTCTCTTACTCTCTTTGATCCTATTTTAAAGCTTATATACTAAAATTCCTGACTCGTAAAAAATTTGTTAAACCTCAGAGGCCTCATTATTTCTTTTTTTTAAAATAATTTTTCATTTTATTTCATGAACAAATTTGTAAACTTAGGCTTGTCTACCTCGAGTGCTATTTAAAAGAGAAAATGAATTTATTTCTCATTATGTAAAAAATATATTGCAAATTTTGGTAGGTGGTTACATTTTCTAAAAAATATTTTTTAAGTTTTTCTAATCCTTTTTTTCTAGAAAAAAAATCTTCTTTTCCAATGAAATCATTTTTCTAAACAGTTATGTGCCTGAACTTCTGAATGTTTAAATGAACGAAATTATTTATTTGGTCTTATTTTATTATTTATTATTTTATTTTGGAAACGGTTGTCATGGATACGGTTGCCATGGTAACAGTTGCTATGGTAACGGTTGCTATGGTAACAGTTGTCATGGAAGCGGTTAGTATGGTAATTGTTACTATGGCAACCGTACGAGCCAATTAAATTAAGTTATCGATGAATAACAATTTTCATGAATGGAAGTTGACGCCAATTTCCATAGTTAATTAATAATAATTTGTGTTCACTTAGCAGAAGGACACTTTTGTCCTTTGGTTTTATATAATTTTTATCATATTTTATTTTAAATAAAATGTTTATTTTTTAATTTATTTTGAACGTTTATTTATTTTTTTTTTTTGCCGAAGTGGAAAATTGACAGAGAAGGGAAAACATTTTCAGGCGCTTGTTGGTGTGAGAGAGGTTGTGTTCCGTTTAAAAAAAATAATGGCAAACATCCGTTTGATTGCAGGAGGAATGCAGCCAGGGGTGACAGTGGCTCTGGCCACAGTCTGGTTAGCAGGCGCAGTTGGGGTATTTTCTGCCACCCTTTACCCCTCCCATCCCTCCCTCGATCAATACTCCCCCCAACTATCCCCCAAGCATCATGAAGTTACCCAAGAAACTCAGGACCATGCAAACTCAAAGTTGCATGATCCAAAGGATCTTCTTACTTCAAAACACAATCAAACATCCAACCTTCATCCATCGATTGAGATGTCAAATTTAAAACTACCTCGAGGGACATTTCTCCGTTACGGTACTATAAAAAAAAAAAAACAATTTTTTATAATAGTCCAAACTTTTTTTTTCCAAAACAGAATTTTATTTTCTCACTGAAAAAAAGAAGGATAATTATTTCAAAAACAAGCAAACTTCATTATCTCTTTTCTTGTTTTAAAAAAAAAGAATGATAACGAGAAAGTTTTAAGATCTTATATAAAGATTTCAGACTCGTTGGGTTCGATGCACTTACTTTTCTGTATCCCTTGTATTTTCTAAGCTAAGATGTGAAACGACTGGGAGTGTCGTTCAATTATGTAAACTCTTTCAGGATCTCAGGATAGGTCTTACGGGATTGGTCCAGAACAAGTTGACTTGAATCTTTCCTTTAAAGATGGCATCCAAGATGAAATTCAATCTAAAAATGTCGCGAAAATACAGGAGAAAAAATTCAATAAAAAAGAATCACATCGTCAGAAAATGATTGATAGTCAACAAAAGAAATCAATCTTAGAGGAGGAGGAGGAATATTCCGATTATGATTCATTTCAAGATCAAGGACCCGGGTCCATTGAGGTCTATAAATTAGATCTTTTCGAGGAGGGCTCATTATTTGATGGTAATCTATCCAAGAATGGTAATAAAAAAGATGAAACTTCTTCGAATAAACTTGAAAATGATCAAAAGACAAAAAAGAATGATACAAAAAAAAATGAAAAGAAAAAAATGAATGAAAATCAGTTGTTGATACCGTTTTTGAAAAATTTAAAAACAAGAACTGAAATTTTGTCACCGGAAGTTCGTTTAACGAATAAGTTAGAGGATCATTCGGAAAATGAATCATTTGGAATGGGTGGAGTGCCAGAGTTGCAAGTTGGATGCGAAGGTGTGGAGGCAAGTCTTCGAGACAAGAGATTTTCATTACGAAATAACAAAGATTCGAGTCACGATAAAGAAAAGTCTTCTCTTTATCCGGAAAATATAGTCAATGTACAGCTCGTCTATGAATCAGATGAAGATGAAGATCCTCAAGGTGTATTTTATGAGGAGAGAGATGAGCTCATAAAGTTGAAAAAGTTGGAGCAAGAACTACAAAATCCACCTCCGCACAGAGGTGATATACCAGTACATTTATATGAAGAATATGATAAAAAAGAAAAATTACCAGTTCGTGGAGATTTGGCTTTAGCTTTTCTCGATCCCGATTGGGATATAATGATACAGAATAAAGATATCAAGGATCGTAAACTATTGTCAATATCTCAATTTGCTCCTTTGAGAAGAAAACGAGATATCAATGAAGATATGTGGGGCTATGGTGAGGATGAGGGAATTATGCCTGACGATGTGGATAGAAGAAGAGATGAAGAAAGAAGGAGAGAGGAGCAGAGAAAAAGAGATGAGGAAAGAAGAAGAGAGGACGCAAGACGAAGAGCTGATTATATGAGATATAGACAGGAAGAAAGAAGAAGGGATCATCATCATAATCGAATTGACGAAGACAAAAGAAGACGGCATGATGAAAAACGAAGAATGGAGGAGGAATTTCGAAGGAATAGTTCCCATAGACGAAATTGGCCAAATAATTATGAAAAGGGAGAAAATGATAATCGAAGAAGAGAACACACAGACGATAGAAGAAGATCTGATGAAAATAGAAGAATGGAGGAACATCGAAGGATGCTGGAGGAGAGAAGAAGAGAGGAGGATGAGAGAAGAAGACCCCAGGAAATGAGAAGACCTCAGGAAGATAGAAGACAACAGACAAATTCTGAGAGAAATAGCCATAGAAGACAGGAGGAAAGAAGAAGACACGAGGAACAAAGACGAAGAAATCCTACTAGGCAGGAGAATGATAAAAAATTACGGAATTACATATCAACAAATACACCCATTGTTATTGGCAATCAACCATTAGACGATCCGCGAAGTAGACATGATGACAGATATCATCAACCAGTTTGGATGGAGCAAAAAAGGCCCAAAGAATCGACACGACCGTTTAATGCAACGGGAATCAGAAATTTGGATAATAGAAGAAATTATGGTCCATCGCCTCCCAATGATGTGGGTCAGAGGAATGAAATGGATGACAGAAGGGAACGTGAGAGAAAAGAAGAAGAAAGAAGAAGGGCCGATAGAAGAAGAATTGAACTTGAGGAGAGAAGATTGGAGGAGGAGGATAGAAGAAGAAAATCGCAAAGATACGAGGAGGAAAGATTGTGGCATGAAAAAATGAGAAGTCAAGGTGAGAGAATGAGACAAGAGTGGATGCACGAGGCGAATAGAAGATCGCAGGCTGAACGACGACCACCTTGGATTAGACCTTATCAATATCCCAATTCCAATGAGAAGGGTTATCAATATCCACCTCCGGATTTTAATAACAAAGGTTATCAACCACCTCCTCCAGATTTAAATAACAAAGGTTATCAACCACCTCCTCCGGATTTAAATAACAAAGGTTATCAACCTCCGCCTCCTCTTCCGGATTTAAACAACAAAGGATATCAACCTCCACCTCCTATGGATTTAAATAACAAAGGTTATCAACCTCCACCGCCTTCTCCTCCGGATTTAAACAACAAGGGTTATCAACCACCTCCGGATTTGAACAATAAAGGATATCAACCACAGAGAGTAAATCATGAATTCGAAAGAGATCGTCAGAGATTAAATCAGGAGAGAAGAAGAAATGATATGGAGAGACAGAATAAAATTCGAGAACATGAAGATGACAGGTAAAATTCTTTATTTATCAATTTTAATTTGGAATTTTTTTTTTTTACCGAAATGAATTCATATCTATATTCAATAGGTATCAATCAATTTTGAATCTCATTATTCTAGTTCGAATAATTATCCGAAACTGAATTTCAAATTGCTTCAATCCTTGATTGAGAAACGGAAATTCGGATTATTAGAGGGAAATTCAGATACGGATAAAGATTGATTGGAGGGGAAAACAAAGTTTTGGAATGACAAACAAATTTCTGAAACTTAATCTAAAAGAAAATTAAAAATTTCTTTATTATAATATCTAGAAATTGAAATTATAATTTTTTTTTTTCATTTTAAAAATAGTATTAAAACAATCAGGAAATACATTGTACAGTTGAATGACATGATAATGGATCGTGTCCGGTAAAAAAAAAAAAACACAGTGACTTTGTATTTTCTGATCAATGAACTTGTTGCTTTCTTTCTGTTTCTTTTTTTTTTTTTTTTAAAAAAAAAAGGTATCAGGAATTAAAAAGAAGACAAGACACTGTGAGAAGTTTGGACGAGTATCGTAGACGACAGGAAGAGGAGGGACTGAATTCTCTACCTGTGAGTGCGACGATAATAATTCGTCCGGGAGGATCCGGCAGCACCAACTCCTCTTCTCCAGTGCTGTTCTCGAGAGGTGGCTTTGGTAGCGAAATCGATTTTCCGGTGAGAGCAGTAGCGTATACCGAATCGAATATCTCGAAACCTCTTGGCACTATTTGATTGGAATGACTGATAGGACATGTTAAATCCAACCATTGAGTACTATTATTAACGCTAATTGTCAAGAACACTAATAATTATAATCCTTTTTAATTTTCTGTCAGTTTTTCAAAAATAGCAATTTTTTTTTTATTGTAAAATTTTTCCTAATTCGGATTGATTTTCCAATCAAAGATATTTTTCCTTTTTATAAATATTGTAATAATTATTATATAATTATTATTATATAAGAAAAATATGCCTAGCATTTCTGCTAAAAGGTATAAAAATTATTGATTCAAAAGCATATATGCTATAGAATATATAAAATATTTTACAAATTTTATAGCATTTGAATAAATAATTTTTATACCCTTGGTTATATTTATTCTCAGTGTATAATTAATATTTAATATAAATAAAATATTGCAATAAAAAATTCGATTACAGGGAATTAATCCAAATCAGAGAGGAATTCAAGCTGCACGATTTCCAGCGCCAGCTACACGAAAACCACCAGTGAAAGGACCAGGACCTTGTATTTGGGCAGTGATTCATTGTTGTCCAAGAAGTGGACGTGCGGCTAGTTGCTTCGAGAGTTTGGGATGTCCTGGAATTAATTGGGACCATAATCATTGTAATCCAACTATTATCGAAGCAGCTAGGAAGGAAGTAGCGAAATTCTACAATACTAATCAATAAATTGATAATCAATTTAATTAATCAATTTTATTAATCTAAAATTTATATACTCAAAACGCTCATTAATCAAATTGTGCATTATTTTTTGTCTTTAAATTCATATTATAATTTATGCGATTCTTTCCTTAAATATAAATTTTTTTTTCGAAAGACACGCAAAAAAAAATTTGCGTCTGTTTTTTTCAAATCGAAAAAAAAATTTATATTTAATTATATATAATTTTATTTGATCAATTCGATCAGTTTATTTTATTAATTGCTGAATCAGTTAACTTTATTAAATTATTAACGAATTAATTGTTTGTTTTTTTTTATAATTTTGATTGATTAATTGCTTTGTCATACTTTGTGTTCCATCATCGAACAAAAATATTTATGTCAATTTTGAATATATACGAACTCACAACGAATGTAAATAGAATATCGATTTCTATTAATAGATATTTAATGATTATATTTATTAAATAATCAGCAAATTTATTTTTAAAACATATATTTTTTTCTAAACTAAAATTATTATTTTTATTCATAAAGATTTTTACAACATTGTCAAAACAAAATCGAAAATAATACACTTTATTATGAATCAATTTATATATTTTTTCAGTATGTAAAATCAGAATTGTATAAATTATGAAAAAAAAGTTCTTAATTGTGCCGATTGTCTATAAAATACGTAAAGATTTTACTTTTTTTTTGTGATATACTAGGTAAAGATATATTAAAAAAGAAACTGTAATATATATATATATATAAATAAATGTAATAAATATTTATGAATGCAATCTTTAGAATATTGTAATAAAAGTAGTTTGCTGAACATTGAAAAGATTTTCATTGCAAGAGAGTATATATTCGAAAGCACAGCAAGTGAGAGTGTCTCTGGCTTTAAATTCACATCCTTTATGATCAAAGGTGATGAAAAAAAACACTTTCAAACGCGAAGGAAGGCGACCCAAGTGCTTCATGCTTGTAAAAAAAAAAAAAGAAGGCAAAATCAATGTACCCTTAAAAGTCCCGGGAACTTGAAAACGTGCTACTATAAAAAGGAAGCTAATAAGGCGTCGAATCAGCTCAATTACTTTTTAATTGCCTTGAAACTGCTAATAGTAATTTCCAGCCTCTGAAGAAATAAGAAAGAATATGCTTCATTGAATAAAAAAAATATATATATATAAGGTTTAAATAATTTTAGAATTTTTTTTTTTCTTTCAAAAACAAAAATTTTAGTACCAGAAAAAAATATTTAAATATCGTAAAAAAAACGGGGTAAATAAATTGGTTTACCCGCAATGAGCTAAATAATTTCATCATACGGTATTAAAAAATAAAATTATTTTATTTTTTTATTACAAATTTTGCTTGAAATTTATTTTAAAAAAAATTTAATTGGCATTTTGCTGAATAGAATCCAATTGCGCGGCGCATACTTGTCTGTTTTTAGTGAAGCAATTGCGCGAGGCTTTAACGATGCCATAGATAGAATATCTCGAGTGAGAAAATTTCTTCGTCAATCGACGTGCAATTGTATCCATAAATATCGCAAATTTAAAGTTTCAAATGGTTCTCCTTTTTTTTGAAACATATATTCAAAATTCCTTTTTACTAGCATTATTTTGCCTAATGGCACATATTCATACTTTGAGATATATTTTTATTTTACAATGCAAATATAGGTAAGTAACTAATTGGTAAGTAAATTAACTATAGAAATATATTTCAATTAGTCGTAATTTTTTCACAGAAAATGGGGTATTATTTTTTTTTATATATATATAAAATTAAATAAGTAAAAGAAAATAATAATAAAATAAAATTTTTATTAAATTAATATCTATTGAGTAATTAATAATGATTCATGTATGGAAAACATTAAATATGATTAAATTTATGAGATCATGTTTTTAAGGAAAAAATATGCGTGATGATGTCGACGATGATGTGGATTTTAATATACAATTGAAGGCGCAGCTGCGTCTATCCAGATAATTGAAAAAACATGACTTAAAATGATGAGATAACGAGTCACAAGTTAAAATTTATGGATATCTAGTGATCAGTGATCCATACACGAACGCATATGACCTAATTCAAAAAGTGGAATTTAAAAAAAAAAGAAAAAACAATAGAGCATATATGAATTGTACCGTAAAAAATTGATTTCACCCGTTTCGTCAGATGTTGAATATAAAATTTTCATTCATATTATAAATATTGAATAATGCATTATTCTCTATAGTATTGTAATTTATTGAGAAAAAAAAAATTTAGTTTTATCGTTCAGTTTTGAGTATTTTTGGTTATTGTATTAAGAACAATATTTTGTTTTTGTTTTACAAAACAATATGGTGGACGCAACAAAAAAGGACATTTTAAGAACATGGATGTTCAAATAATATTTTAGAACATATTTTGTCTGACATGAAATGTTCGTAAAACGTTATCGGAACATTGTTTTTTGCCCACTGGGAATTGATACACAAAAGTGAGATAAAATCATAATTATAGATTTTGTTTGCCAGGACTAAATATTTTTTTTCATTGTATAGCTATATATAGTTTTTAATTTCTTGTTTATAATTAAAAAGTGTTTTTTTTTCCTTTTTCTTATGAGATTTAATTAAAAAATAGCGCATTAAAAAAGTTCAATTTGCTATAAATTTGTGGTTTCTGTATATATATATATATATATAGTTTAAAATCTATAATTCTAAAAATAATCTGGAGTCGACAGCTGGTGGTAAGTGGAACAATATGCGGTATTTTACAATGGGTGAAAATGCTGTTGAAAACGCACCGCGATAACTTGCACCTTGCACCTTTCTGCACATTGAACAAGTGCGCGGCGGTATTTGTGAATGTTTATATGGATGCTTTTGTGTCGATGTTTCACGAAAAGCGAGCCTTTTGTATGGAGGAAAGCGGAATTGTCCTTTTGAAAAGCATATCTAGCGAAACATTGTATACAATATATATATATATATATATATATATATATATATATGTGTCAGTTTCCTTGCTCAAAGCATTAGAAGCATCTTTCTGCACTTCTGCCAGAAAACTTTATAACACACATATATATACACGTATGAGAAAATGGACTTGGCCTGAGGTCATGATCTTGTGGAAAACTTACTCTAGAACCACTTTAGTACCATAAAAATCACTTTTATCGCTTAACGTAAAAGAAATTGGAAAAATTAGGTAAAATAAAAAAGAAAAGAAAAAAAGAAAAAAAAAAAGTTGACAAACTAAATGTAAACAGTTGAAAATAGCTTTAAGCTGGACATATGATAAAGTGATCGGTGCCAAAACGCAACAGGCGTTCCATAAGGTCTTCTACTTTAATAGCCTGGTAATATCAATCATGGAAATCTGAACAGTTGGCAAACATGTTCACTTGTCCGATTACATGCTTTTATTATGCATTCATGACTCTAAATTTTTTATTGTTTCATAAACAAATCTCTCTTTTTTTTTATTATTACATGAAAATTTATTGTCCTTTATAAAACAATTTTTCCTTATCTTCTTTGAAAAAAAATGTGTTTGCAACAAAATCGTTTGGTTAGGCAATTTTAGTTCTTATAATTTTGTTTAGCTGAAACAGTCGTAGAGTTATCTTAACTAAACATTTGGTTAGGACAACAAAATTTGATTAAAAATATCTAAGATATCCAATAAATGTTTCTAATTAGAAGTGCAATAAGGCGAAATGGGAGCATACCAAAGATTTTTCACATTGTTCACATGCTACGTAATTAGAAGCAATTAATTCAAGTATTGATTAAAGTCAGTTCAATCGGGTATATAACAGAATGGAATTGCGGGAACTTTCAAAGCATTTTGGAAACTCTTGTTTATATATCGAAAGACATTCATGTTTTGGAAAAATATTTTATATATATATAAACTGAAAATTCTGCAATAAATAAATTTAAATATATATTGCTTGAAATTATGAAAAGAAGTAAAACAAAATAAATAGAAAAAGAGATAAAATAGCGCGATACATGGAAATTAAAAACAATATTTCAGAAAGAATTCTCAATTTTTATTAATAGAATGTAATTTTAAAAACAAGAATTTGATACGTCTGACTGAAATTGACTTTTACTACTGCGACGGAATTAAAAAAATTCTAAACATGGTTTATTTGGTTTTTACAACTGATAGGAAAATTAAAAAAAAAAAATATTGCAAAACGTGGTCTGACTGAAACGGGTTTTTACTACTGATACAAAAATTCAAAAGGTCTGACTGACATTCACTTTTACCGCATGATAGTAAAATTAGAAAAATTTAGAAGCTGGTCTGAGTGAAATTGACTTTTACTACTGATACTTGAATTACAAAAATTCAGGACGTGGTCTGACTGCAACTGTCTTTTACTACTGGCACGAAAATTAACAAATTGCCAAACGTGGTCTGACGGAATTTGGCTTTTACTACTTATACGAAAATAAAAACAGTAGTCTGACTAATATAGACTTCTACCACTGATATCAAAATTATAAAAGTCTTTTACTACTGAAACCAGAATTTAAAAAAATTTTAAAGTCTCACTGCAATTGGTTTTTACTACTGACACGAAAATTAAAAAAAATTGGAAATTGGAGTCTGACTATAACTAGCTTTTACTACTGATACGAAAATTCAAAATGTAGTCTGACTAAAATTGGCTTTTACTACTGATGGGAAAAATTCAAATAGTAGTCTGACTAAAATGGACTTCTATCACTAATGCCAAAATTATGAAAATTTAAAAGCTGGTCTGACTAAAATTGACTTTCACTACTGATTTGCCATTTAATTTCGAACCTTGGCTGACTGATACTGACTTTGACTACTAATATCAAACAAAAAGGAATTTAATATGTCTGACTAAAATTGATTTTCACTACTGTTACTAAAGTTACCAATATATAAAACGTAGTCTGACTATAACTGATTTTTTCTACTGGGTCCAGCAAAATTTGAAGAAAACCCTTAATATAAGTAAATTTTCTTTATCATTTCAAGAATATTTTTTTACTTTTAAAATTACGATTTATATAGTTCATATTTACAATTACGTAATTATTTTATATTTTTAATTACGTATAATTACGTAATATTTACAATTACGAGTGTAACTGTAAATAGTGATCCAAAAAGGTTTCTGTGTAAAATGTGTAAGTATAATATATATACATATATATATATATATATTTGTGTGTGTGTGGATAGTTTCAGAAGCATATAGGATAAGAGAAGTTGCACTTACCGTCGCTACGCTGCACGATACCTTTCTTATCGCCTTTTCCCATATTTTCTCTCTCCACCTACTTCTCTTCAGGTTGAGACGTTCCTTCCTTCGCTGCCGCCTGAAAAACCAATCGAAGACTGTCGTTACCGTGTCTCGTTTCACGATGCGATTCGAAAAAAAAAAGAAATAAAAAAAAAAGTTAAAAGAGATCAATATAAGTCGTCCAAGATAGGTCGAACTTAAAGTAAACCTCTTCAAATTTCAAAAAACATTTTTCTTAAAAAAAAAAATAAAGAAAATCTTTTCTTCCTTTTTACGTATATAATTCCTAACACTGGGAAAAGAAAATCTTATTTTAAGATATACGTCTGAAAATAGGATTTTCTTTTATATGTTTTTCACTTACGAAGATTCTTTTTTTACATCCAGAAAAAAAAAAAATTTTTTTTAATGAACTATTAGCAATATTAGAAATTTTTAATCAATATTTCATATGCAATCTCGGCAAAGTTTATGTTGAACCATCATTATAAAAGTCTAATATAAAAATTGATTATAAGACTCAATTTACTTTTCATTTTCTCCGTTTCAACTATATATATATATGAGTATTTTCAGACAAAACCGAGGGGAAAGTTTTTATCGTCGACAATGTCAAGTTCTTTTTTTTTTTCATTTTTCGTGTTATAATTGAAAATATCCGCGCTCTTCTCATTTTGTAAAATATTGTGTAAGAAAATTTTTCTCTTCTTGATATTATAGAGAAAAAAAAAAAAAATTTCCAAATAATCGTTGACTATTATCAAATAAATATAATATAAATATAAAATAATAGTATAATAATAATGAAATATATATATATTTTATAAATTTTATATAAATAATTTATTATGAGCGAATTACATATTAAAAAGAAAAGTCTGCAAAATAAAGATATAATTTAATTGAAACAAACAAGAAAGAAAAATTTCCATATCAATATTAAAAAAATTATAAAAATGAAATTTTTGCATAAAAACTGTATTTTAAAAAGCATATATATTTTTTTTTATATAAATTCTAATATATGGTAAAATATTTATTCCCCCGGATATGAAACTATATATGAATAGTTATAATATGGCAAAAAAGAAACTTTCTCTTTGCACAAAAATTATAAAAAAAAAATTTCTATACATAAATGGACATTGAATAAATTGATTGAATTTTGTGATTTTTCTCAACTGAATAATCCAGTTTAAAAAAAAAAAACTAACCCAAAAAAGAAAAAAATAAAAACTATTGACTACAGCGGAAAATTAAAGTTGGTTGAACAGCTTTTTCAGTAGTATGGATCTCTGTTAGGTCAGACCTAGTCTGAATCGTGATATTGTTGCGGATGAACCAAAGGTAATTGAGTGGAACTTGGAAAAGTTCTTTTTTTTAAACTGCGCAGACTTTGATTGGCGATTGGCCTGACATAGTACGAGTGTTCGGCAAACACGAGAATCGCGGTCGATTGTAACGTTTCGATTACTGCCGTCCCTGGAGAACTATCACGGCGAAATGGTTCTTCTCTGTGTATATATATATATATATATATAGATGTATATTTATATTTAAACAATTTATTCTTTAGACAATTTGACTTTTACTTCATTTATATATTACAATTTCGATATTTTGATATAAAAAAAAATTATTCATCGAATATTTTTTTTAATAAAAAAAGTAATTAAAATAACAAAATAATAAAAACAAGACAAAATAATTTTAAAAATAACACTGTCTGATACGATTTTTGACCCACAAAAAAATCCAACATTTTCGGAAACTAGGACCCAAAAAAAAAAATACCCGTGCCTGGACGTTTTGCTAGATCAAGTCGTTTGTGGTTTTTAGGGGTGAAAACAACCCCTAAATGAAAAGTGACAAGATATCTTTTAAAAATTATTAATATTTTATAAAACTTGGTATGTGGGGGTTTTCGGGGTCGCTGATGTCAGATTTTCAAAAATTCAAAATGGCAGATCCAATATGGCGGTCAAAATATTAAAAAAGTTATTAATTTTTTATAAAATTTGATATCTAGGGGTTTTTGGGGTCGCTAATGTCGAATCAGATGTTAAATTTTCAAAATTCAAAATGGCGGATATAAAATAAAAAATTAATAACTTCTTAAAATATTCACCGCCATATTGGATCCGCCATTTTGAATTTTTGAAAATCTGACATCAGCGACCCCGAAAACCTCCAGATACCAAGTTTTATAAAATATTAATAATTTTTAAAAGATATCTTGTCACTTTTCATTTAGGGGTTGTTTCTACCCCTAAAAACCGCAAACGACCTGGTCTATCAAAACAGCCGCAGAAACGGGTATTTTTTTTTTGTTCCTAGTTTCCGAAAATGTTGGATTTATTTGTGGGTAAAAAAAAAAAAATTAAATTTTGTCGGACGGTGTAATAAAATAATATTGGAAAAAATAGTAAAAAAAATTGTAATAAAAATTGTTCTCAATAAATAATAATGGGAGTACTCTTTTTTCTCAAAAAGGACCTCCTGCAAATTGGAATAGACAAACGGGCAAAAGGTCGCGTCGTACGGGGTCCTCCAGAAACTGCAATGTGTGTGAACACATTTTGCACGATGACGGAAATCGTTGGATTCGAACGGAAATTGTGAAATTCTCGATAGTGTCGTCCCAGCCGGTTGGCACATCCTGTCCCTTTTCACCCTTTTTTTTTTTTTTTTACCAAAATCTCGTTTCATATCTTTTCGAAAAAAAAAAATTGCAAACGAATCTTTATATTGTTTCGCTAAAATTATCTATAACTATATTACAAAAGAATATGAAAATTTTAAGCAAACTCTCATTTCCCATCAGATTGGATTAAAATTTCATTTTTTTTATTTATTATTTTATTTTTATTATTATTATTTACTATTATTTATTTATTTAAATTATTATTATTTGATTTTTTTAATATATTTGTTTTTTAGTAAAAAAATATATTTATATATAAATTCATATGTATTGGTGTTATAAAAGCAGAGATAATTATTGAAACATATATATATATATATAGAGAGAGAGAGAGACTTGAGGAATGACAATGTAATATTCGCCAGGATACTGACTTCTGGGTGGAAGATGGTTCTCTTGGGAATCCATTAATTAATCCAAACTGCCTGCCTCTTGTCTACCAATGGGATTATATTTCCCACAAGGTTACAAACCTTTGGGTATATACTTAACATTTAAAAAATTTATTTAAAAGAAAAATCTATATATTATTCAAAATAATATATATATATTCATAAATCAAAAATTCAATCGAAAATTGTCAAAATTTAATAAATAAACGACTACACATAAATTATCATACAATTAATATATCATCACTTGTTGAATCATTACCAATTTTTTATGAGAAAAAAAAAATTCTTATTTTTATAAATATTATGTGAAAAAATTGTATTGGAAAAAGATGGCGGTTTTTCTACACGCACTCTGTGTTAAATTCACACACACTTGATAAATAAGTTTCACATTCTAATAATATAAACATAGGAAAAAAAAAAATTTATAACAAGAATATAAAAATAGTAAAATTCGAGTTATTTGAAGAAAAAAAAAAATTGGAAAAAATTTATTTAGAAAATTATTAATAAGTTACTTACGAGAATTGTGTTGTATCATTTGTCAAAGAAATTGAAGCAGCGAAAAACAGTCGAAATGAAATTTGGTAAAATAGAGAAATTCTAAAAACCGAAAATTGCACAATCCCTTTTTGTATTCGCTTTGGCCTGTTATAATATTGTGGCCAAAAAATGAAAAACTTTAATGAATAAAAATTCTATCTTTTCATTGTACGAATAAACGCATCTTGAAATCTATCATTTTTTCCACCCAAACAAAAAAAATAATTAATGACAAAGACCGGCCTATCAAATATACATGTCTCTTGTCATTTTAAACTTCATCTCCCCCAAAAGGATCTTTGGACACGTGATTGCGTTTCGGCACGCCAACACTGACTAAAAAACTCCTGCCGACTGGCAACCCGAACACCATCCATTCCTTGATCCTGCGCTTCCTGTTCCACCCCCTATAAGGTCTCCATGTTCGCCACCTCCTTTGATACCCTTGCGAAACACCTGTATTTTACAAGAGATTCTTTTCCAATTTTTCTATTATTTCACTTTTTTTCTTTTTCTATTATTTCATTTTTTTTTTTTTTTGTTTTTCAATAAACTGAATTTTCTTTATATTTTAATAAAAATAAAAAAAAATTTTTTGGAAATATTTCCTTAAACATAAATTTTTGAAAATTTTGGTTTAGTTTTTTTTAAAGATTGAAAATTATAAAAAAAAAATATTTTAAAAAATTGTAATTATAAAAAAAATCTGTTTTGCTTCTAATTTGAAATTTTAAACCTAAAGTACCGACACAGTGTCGATCAGATAGGTCTCGCTTACAATTACCTACCGTTGGTACAAAGTTTTAAAATGAATTATATCGTTATATGAAATATTGACAATATTGTTTTTGTCTCAAATGTAAATTTACAAATTTAAATACTATGAAATACTATTTACAAAAATAGTATATTTTTTTTTTATACAAATAAGAGTTTTATCACAGTTTACCATAGGATGGTAATACCCAAGTTCAAGTTTCCACAGTTGAAGCGAAAGATGGCAGTAATGTTCCATTTTCTCGAACAAGTTTAAACTTTTACGCATGATATTTTTATTTTCACTATTCCCAAGTTAAAAATAACTAATAATAAATAGAAATTTTTTTTCGGCATATATTTTTAATACTGATAGCTAATTCTCAGACAATAAAAAAAAAATTATTTATCCCATTTACTATCAATTAATAAAAATAAAATATAATAATTAAATAATTAATAAAAATAAATAATAATTAATAATAACTAATTAATAAAAATGAATAATAATTAATAATAAATAATTAATTGAAAAATAATAAAATGAAATAATATTTTTGAATTTTATTGAGAAAAAAAGATTTATAAAAAGCGCAAACAGAATGTTTTAAAAATTCCCAAGTAGCACGTAATATTAAAGCAATATTACGGTAATATCACACGATAATATTACTGTAATATTACAGTAATATTAAAGTTTCCGCCATATGGTAATATTACCTATTAATGTTAGTGTAATATTACAGTAATATTACTGCAATATTACCTGTTAATATTACTGTAATATAACTAAAATATTACAGCAATATTACTAAAATATTACAGTAATATTACTCAAATATTACAGTAATATTACTCAAATATTACAGTAATATTACTCAAATATTACAGTAATATTACTCAAATATTACAGAAATATTACTGTAATGTTAGTGTAATATTAACTAGTATTATTACAGTAATATTAACCGGTAATATTACAGTAATATTAACTGGTAATATTCTAGTAATACTACAAAAAAATCATAACAAAGTTGAAATTTTGTTTATTTTAAATAAGTCTGTAATATTACTGTAATGTTACTGTAATATTTCAGGAATACTATCCGGTAATGTTACTGTAATATTACAGTATTAATTAAATAAAATGTCCGGCTCATGATAATATTACCGGTTAATATTACTTTAATGTTATTGTAATATTACAATAATGTTACTGTAATATTACAGGTTAATATTAATGTAATATTACAGTAACATTACTATATTATGACAGTAATATAAAAGTAATAATACAGTAATATAACAGTAATATTACTGGTTAATTTTAAAAGAATATAACTGTAACATTACTGTAATATTACCTTTACATTACTGTAATATTACTTTAATATTACTTTTACATTACTGTAATATTACTTTAATATTACGGTAATATTACCTGTTAATATTACTGTAATATTACCAGTTAATATTACAGTAATATTACTAAAATATTACAGTAATATTACTGTAATGTTAGTGTAATATTAAAGTAGTATTAACTGGTATTATTACAGTAATATTAACCGGTAATATTACAGTAATATTAACTGGTAATATTCTAGTAATATTACAAAAAAATCATAACTAAGTTGAAATTTTTTTTTATTTTAAATAAGTTTGTAATATTACTGTAATGTTACTGTAATATTTCAGGAATACTATCCGGTAATGTTACTGTAATATTACTGTATTAATTATTTAAAATGTCCGGCTCATGGTAATATTACCGGTTAATATTACTTTAATGTTAATGTAATATTACAGTAATATTAACCTGTGATATTACCATGAGGAGTAAATTTTAATATTAATGTAATATTACCAATTAATATTACTGTAATATTACGTGCTACTTGGGTGAGAAAATCTTAAAATAAGTAAAAGAAGTAGAAATTGAGGCAATCCGAAGTTGCAACTCTTGGTGACAAGCAAAGTAAAAAGAATATGTCTCTAGTTAACTCGCTTGGGTCTGGGGGCGAATGAAAAAACTCCGATAGAGTTCCAGTTTCATATAGCCATATAGCGTTAGTGGCGGTGAGAAAGCGGCGAGAATTTAATTAAGAATTTCCATGAACGCGAACGCCATATTGCCATGGCACACACACGTCACCTCTTTCCCTATGGTCGTCGTCGTCGTCGTTGTCGTCGTTGTGCCCTTGCTCCCCCTAATTAAATTGAAAGAAATCTTCTCGGTTGCGCCTCTCTCTCCCTCTACACCCCCCCCACTTTTCTTATTTTTTCCGTGTGGCCTTACTTCATTCTTTTCTCCTCATTTCTTTTTTCCTTTTTTTATTATTTTTATTCTTTCTCTTTTTTCCAGAGATGCCAATTTGCCGGTAAGAAATATTGAAAACTTCTTTTCTCATGGTGGCAAAGTAAGGCCGTGAATGAGAAAGAAGATGAGAGAGAGAGAGAGAGAAATTTGCAATTTAAACGCCACTAGGAAAACTCGACCACGCAACTTCCGTCTCATTTAGTAGCATGCATTGATAGATAGGTTGAGAAATTTATCGGGTCGACACTCTTTTTTTTTTTTTTTTATCCTCAAAGAAATTTCTAATTAAACCTAATAATTATTTTATATTTTTATATATAATATAGTAAATTGTGTTTTTATTAACTTTCGCAAGTTATATTTTTTTTTTATAATTAACAGAAATTGAAAAGAATTATTTTGTTTTTTGGTTTTTTTCCTTTTTTATAAAATAAAATATTTATAAAAATTTAATAAAATAAAAATTGGAAAGGAATTTTTATTTTTTTATTTACACCTAAATGTACAGTGAAAAAAGGGGTTGGTATTTAAGCAACCATAATTATTTTGTTGAATCAAAAAAATTTTAATTGTCTCAATCAAAATTTGTTTGACACAACCAAAATTAGAAAAAAAAGATTTTTGTTGTCCTAACTAAAGTTTGATTGGGGCAAACCAAAATTTTGTTGATTCAATAAAAAAAATTTGGTTGCTTAATTACCAACCAAACGTTTGGTTGTCAATACCAAACCCTTTTTTCAGTGTAAGGGAAAAAAAGAAAAAATTCTTCTAAAACATCTCTTTTTCAGATATTCCAAGGAATTTGCTGTTCTTCTTGTCACCCTTTTTTTCCCCTCACTTTTCACCGATGACCTATCATTGCCCCTCGTTTTGGACCACAATACACCTTTTCTCTCCTTCGACGTGGACTAATGATGTACTTCATTTTACAAACTATATATATACTCGGTAATATTTATCCACAGATATCTTCATCTTGTATAGTGATATTTATAGATTTATTAATAAAAAAAAAAAGAATTTTCTATCGAAATTTTGTAAAAGAACGAAATAAATAATTTTCACTTA